GTCGGGTTCGGGTAAGAAGTAATTCGGGTCGGGTACAGATTTTAGGACCCAATAAGACCTCTACTCTGTACTGTAAACAATCTTGTTCCTGACACTGGGATCCTTCTAAAGTCTGTGCAAACATTAGTATATTATATCCAGTGTCAGTGATTATAATGCTCTGTGTGCTTTTGACGCAACTATGGTGCGATGATGATTATGTCTGCTCATGTCTTACCCAGATTGCTTGGCCAAGAGGGCCCCATATTAGTGATGGGAAGTTCGGATCATTTTACTGACTCTCTCGTTCGATCTCGTTCATCAAAATGAATGAATCTTTATTACACCCCAGGATTTTAAGCCCGATTTGCAAGTCAACGAGCTCGCCGACAGGTTGGGCTGCGATCGGGGGAAAATCATCGGATCATCAGCGCTCGGCAATCTTTATGTGTGAACTACTCAATGACGCATCAAAGGGGCTTGCTGACGCCTCGCCAACACATCGCCGATGCCAAACAAATATCTAGCATGCTAAATATCTGGACAAGTCGGCCATCACGTGGTGTCAGGTGTTGCGACGAGCTACAGCCAATGAGAGAGCAAGGCATGGGTTGAGGACACCGGATAAGAAACAGCAGCAGCAACACGGTTTTAAGAAAAGTTTGGACAAGAAATGGAGCGAAATTTTTCAGAACAGATCATCGTGCAAACAGCTTGCAGCGCTAATTTCTTCCCAACCTCCATTTTCAAATAAACAACTCCTGTTTCACGTGTTGTTTCGCGTCATTCCCTTTCCACTTCTCACATGTGTTTTTGTGACAAAACGCGGTCTGGGGACTGGATAGAGTCGTTGGGTGACAGAGTTGTTGTCAGCTCGTGTAATGTGTGACCCCCCGTTGCGGATCATTTACGTTGTGTCACGTATACACCAAGACAGACAAGAAGTCATGTAGTCTGAACAGCACAGCGATCTGCCGATGTTTTAAGTGGTGTAGTGTGAACTTGGTTTAAGTGGCTTTAAATGGTACACTTTTAACAGCCAAATTCCCCAAACACATCCACATATGCAATCTTGATCATATTCATTCATTATATTCATATTCACAATCATTATAATGTAGCCAAAGATCATTTACAGGGAACATACATAATTACTTTGCCTTCAGAGTCTTTCGTTCATTTGTCATGTGACAGACACAGTGAACGAATCATTCATGAATGACCCATCACTCTCCCATATGTATTTCCCCATTTACGACCCATATAGAGGTTGCCTATGTGGGTACTACCTTGGGCTTATATAGGCAGCCTATATGTGACAGATTGTGTTTGCCTATGTCTGACCCGTATGGTTTGGCCAAGAGGGCCCCATATGTGTTTGCTCATTCAGAACCCATATAGAGGTTACCTATGTGGGTACCACCTTTCGCCCACATAGGCAGCCTATATGGGACTGGTTGTGTTTGCCTATGTCTGACCCATATTGCTGGTCAGCAGGCTGGTTTTAGAGGTGTTTTGGCCACTTTCTTAGTTGGTCAGGCTGGTCTTAGCTGGTCAGCCTGGGAGACCAGCTAAAACCAGCTACTTCCAGCTTAAACCAGCTAAGACCAGCCAACCAGCTTAGGCTGGTTTTAGCTGTTTGTTTGTTTTTTTGTTTAGTTTTTTTCCCAGCAGGTTCTTCTGTGTTCTGCAGAAGAAAGTCAGTCATACAGGTTTGACATGACATGAGGAATGAAGAAATGATTAAAGAATTTTCATATCTGGGTGAACTATCCCTTTAAAGAATGAGGAAAACCATTTCAGGGTATTTTTGGCTATAAGTTACGGTTACATATTTGCTTTCACCATTATTTGTCCTTCAGACTTTCCTCTTCAAATACAACAGTTATCAGCTGTATGCAAATTGACCCAGATCTGGTTTTTGAAAAATCATAATAGGTTCAATATACAGTACAATTTGCACATGAAGCCACATTGAGTTCTCTATTTCTCTGGAATTGTACCATATAGGGCCTTGTAAATGTAGTTCACAAGAGTTTTTAACGAATTGGAATCTAAAATGATATTAGGATATCTTTAATACTTCTTGAGTTACAGGCATGCAAACTTTGGAAAATAAATCCAAAAAGGTGTTTTTCTTTCATTTTTGAACGGTCACCATTGACAAGTAACAAAGCAATGATTCAACTAACAGACCTGCAATCTCTGTGTTAAAAATTAAATAATGATGCTGCCATCTTTTTAAAGTCATTTTTAACCCCTGTAATGTGGCTCTAAATTTTAGGTGAAAATTGATCTCACTTTAGAAAATATTGGATTACATAGTAAATATTCATCCAGGGCATCAAAATGTTTAGCTGGGGAAGTTTCTATAAACTGGTTGATTTGACACGGCAATATTCTAAAGTACTATTAAATGCTTTTTATTTGTGGCCATTCTTGTGTCTGTGTTACAGAATCAAGATGGATCATAGATTCAGCCAGGAGAAACCTGATTATTATGTTTCCGATATCCTTCTGAATGACTAGTTGAGATGAATGTAAAGCCTCCTGTCTATGAAAATAATTTAAATAAAGTAATATTGATAAAGTTGCTTGTGTTGCTCAAAGGAACAAAATAAATGATTAGTGAAAATGTAGTAGTTAGTTTCAGCATCAGGCTGGTACACACTTACAGTACTACAGTACTTCCTGTTCAAGGAAAGTTGAGAATGCAGTCAGGCAAGCATGCACTGATGGAGATGAATAGGAACGCCAGTATGAGGAAGGTTCATTCATACCTCAACTCTTTCCCCCATACAGGATTAATTGCGTAATATTTACGATGATGCACAAAATTAAATAAAACAAAGCCTTCCATAATGGGTTGCTGAGCCCATTTATTTGCCAGTGAGTAATTCATTTAATTTCTTTACACTGTATAGGCATATAGAAGTCAGGAAATTGTTGAATAAAGTTAATTATTTTTGTTTGTGCACAAAACGTATCCTCGTCGCGGGGAGTCAGAAAGCTCTCAGACCTCATCAAACTATCTTAATCTGTGTTTTGAAGATAAACTGAGGTCATTTGATGACCAGCTCAGTTTCAGCACTACATGTACGTAAAATTCATAAGATACAGCATAAACGATAACAAGCCAAACATGTCTAATCTGCTTAACAGAAATAAAGAGCTTAATGTGATTTCCATGAAACACCTTTCTGGTTGTGTGTACTAGATGTGACGGCTCCTCTAAAGCCTCTAAATTTACATATTTCACTACAGCTATTTAAAGTCTAAAGAAGTTTTTTGGCTTTTAGTATGAATATGTTAGCCTTAAGATTATCTATAAGCTAGTGTGCTCCAAAACAATGACAAAATTCGCATTTACAAGATATAAGCATTCAAAACTTAGTCTCTCACTTCCGCCAATATGGATCAACCATGCACTTCAGCTTCTCATCAAACTTTCTGTCCAATCAAATTCTCTCTAGAATCTGAAGCATCCCGCCCCCCACTTTACTACAAATAGACGCTGAAGCTGTGGCTGAAATCGGTCACTTGTTCACAGAATTAGTGTTTTCTGTATGGTGAATGTACACTATATAGGGGATAGGGAACGATTCAGACAGTGTAAATATGCTTTTCATTGGGGCGAATGAAGTCTGGTTTCGTGCTGTCTGTAGGCGCGTTTCCATTACCCTTCAAATTGCGCAAATTGAAATTGCGAATTGAAAATACGCCTAATGGAAACGCCTAATGGAAACTCCCATATATCGCAAAAAAGTTTTTACGCTCGCATGAGGTGGTTTTTCAGGCAATGCGAAAAAAAGGAACAATTCGCAAAACTGCAATGGAAACGTTTTTTTCGCATTTACAGGTCACATGGCGTATGTAAAAAGTCATATGATCATTCTTCAATGTACTATACCCTCCAAGAAACACATCATAAGTGGCCGCTCTCCAGTATAAGGGGCTTTCCCTACCATTAATGCTTAGACAATTTACACTGCACACGTCTGCGGCGCAGTGTGGCTCTGATACGGCCACCAAAGCTGATTGCGGCCACTCTAGTCAGTGCTTGTGTTTTTTCCAGCCGCGCCACACACATTTCTGATGTGGCTCTCTGTGCTGCTTCTGTAAAGATACACTCATACGCCTCCTTTGAATAAATATGTAAAATATAGCCAAAGTTTTGCGCAAATCTGTAATGGAAACGCGCCTACTCACACGAACATTTGAATTCTACAAAGAATGCTCTATTTTATAGCAATATGGATGAGATTGTGGATGTCATACCCTGTGCGAAACCCTCCTTCTGCTCGCTCGATGTCATTCACCCAAGATTTTTCTAATGAATTCTTGAGTCAGTTGGGCCCAGTTAAGTGTCCTTTCTCAACAAATGTCTCTTAACTGGTTCCATTCCTGCTTTTCCAAAAGTGGCTACTATCACGCCTCTAGTAAAGAAGCCTTCGCTTGATACATCTATTTTTAAAAACGTCCACCCAATTTCTGCTTTACCTTTTATTTCTAAGGTTTTGGGGAAAAAAAATGTGTTTGACCACCTTCAGTCCTTTCTCAATGCTAATAGTCTGAGAATTTTTAATCCGGCTTTAAGGCTGCCCATAGCACTGAATTGGCTCTCTACTGACTCCGGTGGTCCTGTGGTCCTTATCCTTTTAGATTTATCTGCTGCATTTAATATGGTTGACCACTCTACACTAACCACTACGTTAAGAGTCATGAGTGGGGCTAACAGGCACAGTTGTCAAGTGGTTTCAGTTGTATATATCAGACAGAAAGTTATGATTAAGCTAGGTGAGTTTTTGGCACCTTCTCCGTTTTTCTTGTATGCATTCTGGTTATTTAACTGGTGCAGTACGTTTACTTCACTTTTGGATCAACATTCCTATGAACAATTGAACATCCCCAGGGTGGGGTTGGGGTAAGAGCTACGATTGGTTGATATTAGTCACCTTGTGTGTAGTCTTCAGTATATAAACAATGATGTTCGAAATGATAAGTGCAGCTGGCAACAAAAGGATCATCTGACAGTCCATACAGGTATGCATGTAATCTTGTGAACAAAAGCACTGTTTATACATGGCTATTAAATATTATGTTAATATTAAATTATATTTATAATGAATATTACAATTGATGCATTACATTAACACACTTTTTTCTAACTGAATTAGACTTTGCTCTTAAGTTGGCGGCAGCAAATGGAAATCATTGGGTTATGCTTGTAGCTGGTTCAATGACCTGGAAAAATTACAGGCACCAGGTTTGTGGCCTATATTTGTGACCCTGGAGCAAAAAAAGCAGTCTTAAGTCGCTGGGGTATATTTGTAGCAATAGCCAAAAATACATTGTATGGTTCAAAATTATAGATTTTTCTTTTATGCCAAAAATCATTAGGATATTAAGTAAAGATCATGTTCCATGAAGATATTTTGTAAATTTCCTACCATAAACATATCAAAACTTAATTTTTGATTAGTAATATGCATTGCTAAGAACTTCATTTGAACAACTTTAAAGATGATTTTCTCAATATTTTGATTTTTTTGCATCCTCAGATTCCAGATTTTCAAATAGTTGTATATCGACCAAATATTGTCCTATCCTAACAAACCATACATCAATGGAAAGATTATTTATTCAGCTTTCAGATGATGCATACATCTCAATTTTGAAAAATTGACACTTAAGACTGGTTTTGTGGTCCAGGGTCACATTTATTATTGGACTTGCAGTGCATTCATTTATTTTGTGAGTATGTGCTTACTCTGGGCTGTTAAGAGTTGGGTTGCTAGCACGATGTCCTACCAGTTGAGCTACCTAGACATTGCAACAAGGGATGTTGCAATGCAGTTTGTAAAAAAATGTATACCTCCATTTCAGGCTGATGTGTGTCACGCCTATCAGATAGTACATCGGAATGGAATTCCTGACGATCAGATTGTGGTGATGATGTATGATGACATCGCTTATAATATGAAGTAAGAGGCTTCCTGCAGATTTTGGAAGTCATGTGGCTCATTGCTGATGTACATTTTTAGCAGATTTAACACAGGATTCACATAGATCTTTCCTGTCATGCTGTACCATTTTAAATCATCCCTAATTAATATTATAGCCAATGTATTATCATGCGTATGATGGGACATAAAAGTGTTTTGCCACAAAATGTCCCATATAATGTTTTATCTTCCTTTACAGAAACCCTCATCCTGGAACAATTATCAATAAACCAAACGGATTGAATGTGTATGCAGGCGTTCCAAAAGATTACACTGGAGAGGTACCGTATTGGCCTGAATATAAGACGACCCTGATTATGTATTGGCCCGAATATAAGACGACCCTGGTTATAAGACGACCCCCCCTTTTTCCAGATGTACCTTTTGGAAAAAGGCTTTTTAAAAACCACATCTTGTTTTTTCTCAGTAAAACACATTTTGTCTTCAATTATTTTCATATTGCATATTTTTCCTATTTTAATTTTTGTTTTGAAAGTATGGTAAAAACTGGTCAAATGTGCCAACAATCACATTTAAAAAATATACACTTTTTGATATACCATTAAAAAAAAGAAATATATATAGGTAGCCCATCTGAATTAGGACATTTAGGCTATCCATCTAATAGTAGCCTACCAAAATCTTATTAACAGTAGAAGTTAAATCATACTGTCGTCTTCAAATCTGGGTACTGTGTTACGTTTTAAAATCACAAAGGGAGTTTGGTCCCATCAGGCTAACGTGAAAGTCACGACTCATGCAGCTGTAAGCTTTTCTTTCTCTTTTGTTTTTACTCGCGATCTTTACAACACGCATTACATTACGTATTTCATGGCACACTCGTTTTATGCGTATTTGGCGCCACCTATTGTTGTGGGTGTATTATTGACATGTCAAAGTCTAGACCCTGAATATAAGACGACCGCGTTTTTTCAGATGTATTTCCAAGAAAAAAACATCGTCTTATATTCGGGTCAATACGGTAATTTTCTTTTTGTCAAACACAATTGATATTTTCATCCTATACCTGCAGTAAACACAACACTGACTGTCTTACAGGATGTAACACCTGAAAACTTCCTGGCTGCTCTCAAAGGAGACAGACGAGCTGTGAAAAAGAGAAGTCCAAAAGTCATTACAAGGTTTGTCTTATTAGTCAATTACAGTTCTGATACAAATAAGGATAAGGACGGAAGATAATGATATTGTTTAATTTTAAATGATAATAAAATATATAAATGTTATCTTTTTTGTGTCTCACAGTGGAGGAAATGACACAATATTCATCTATCTGGCAGATCATGGTGGTTCGGGCATATTTACTTTTCCTAACAGCACTGTAAGTTTTGTTCCCTCTAGGGTTAAAAATATATCGGTATTATGATTTCGAGCCAGTAAACCTCAATATACTGTATACATCTGTAGTCATAAAATAATGTGTGGAGCTATAATTCTTTATGAGAATTCTAAGCAAGAATTGGAATCATTCATATACTGTATATACCAGTAACTTATCATTATTGGCAGTATTTTTATGATCGGCTTGCAAATTTACTAAGTCTAAAGTGTAAATAGATAAGTACTTAAATAAAACATTGTACAGTATTTAACCGCTTATATTATGGTGATCTATTTCAATCCTTTTCCTGCAGCTTCACGCCCATGATCTCATTGAAACAATCAAGGAAATGGCAAGAAATAACAAGTTCTCAAAGGTAAATACAAACATTTGTATACACCAATTAAAAAATAGTCCATATACTGTATGGGCTCTTTTCCCAGAACACCAGAGCTGGAAAAATAACTCAAGTACTATTGTAGTGTAATCTGTACTTTTCTTATGTGTAATCTGTTGTCTATTTAGGGGTTCAAGCACGTAGTGCTGAAACCCTATTGTAATTGTTAGGATTTTTATTATTTTTTTTTTTCTCCGCTAAAACTGATTGTGCAGAACAAACCGTAAGGCCTAGAGAGCTGAAACTTGGCCAGATGGTAGAGCTCCCTGAGGGGAGATTCTGGCAAAGACTCGTCCCAATCGGCCTATGGGGGGGCGCTACAGCGATCGTAAAGGCGAAACTGATTATTAGGGGTTCAAGCACGTAGTGCTGAAACCCTATTGTAATTGTTAGGATTTTTATTATTATTATTTTTCTCCGCTAAAACTGATCGTGCAGAACAAACCGTAAGGCCTAGAGAGCTGAAACTTGGCCAGATGGTAGAGCTCCCTGAGGGGAGATTCTGGCAAAGACTCGTCCCAATCGGCCTATGGGGGGGCGCTACAGCGATCGTAAAGGCGAAACTGCTCATAACTACTAGACATGTGTACGAGCTCAATCTTTGGTCAAATAAAAAATGAGTGTGGCCACTTGGTGTAAGACGGAAAAAACAAAAACGGCTATAACTACGCAACCGTTGGTCCGATCAACTTGAAAATTGGTATGCAGTGTCTTTATCCAAATTGGCACAAGTGTCTATGAGGACATTTGCATATCTCAAAAAACATTGGTCAAAGAAGTTTAAGCACCCATTAGACAAGGTTAACGGATGTCGATCGGAACGAAACTCAGTGGGCATGTTCGACTGATGGCCTTAAAGGTCTGTAAGAATTTTGAAAGAAATCGGCCACTGCGGGGCGAAATTGCGTTTTTCAAGTGCGTAAACGATTGTATATTGCACGATTTTTCAC